ATCATTATAAAACAAATCAAAACAAAAATGAAATTAGACATTTAAATTAATGCAAAATCATCAATATTCCTTCTCTAAGTAAAAAAAAATATAAATAAACGGCACGTCTCCCATAATAACTTTCACCCTTTTTCAGCCCCAAATTTGTGAAATACATGTACAAATTTCGTATTAGATCCGGCTCAGTACTCATTCGTGAAAGACTTGGGAACGTAATATTCTTTAAGACATATGAGAATGGGTAGGGTGGGGGTAACACCGTAAAATCTTGGATGTATGAGCCGCTGCACTGTATACGACCTTGGTTATGTCATATTCTTCTTAGTTAGTTGTATTTTACGTCCGCTTCCACCGAGGTGATATCGCGGACAATTATGCCATATTGTCTTAAAACCTTATTGTCTTAAAACCTATTTTATATTACCGGAGTCTTATAGCATTTTAATTTCGTTAACGGCACATAAATGAAGTACGTAAAAATCGATGTCATAATAGCTACTTACAATTTTAAATAACATTTTTGTCTTAATCCTTATAAGACATATAGAAGTAGATTTCACAAATTAAAAACACTGATATGGTTATACTACTTCTGAATTTATTAACATGCTACGTTTCGATATCCATGTATATAAGTGTTTTTAACATTTTTGTCTATTATTGAGTGCAAAGAAGTGATGTGAATAGCCTATTATTATTATCTTTGACAGATTCCAGACGGTTGAGTCGACATTGACGCGTTAGTTTTAAGAGGCGTAATTTTAAATCTCATTAAACAAGAGATATTATGTTACGATGATCCTGAGTGTAGTAAAAGGTTACACCTACACAGTACAGCTGGCTTCTTTATTGATATGGTAACTCATTTGATTAAAGAGACATTTCATCGGGGTCGATTTATAAAATAAAATTGTTGGTGTGCAGGTACGGGAATGTGAAACGATTCATTGGTTAGTACAAGTTTCATGTTTTGCCAAAGAACATATTAATATCATTATGGTACATAGATTTATTTCAATAATTCATCTGCGCACACGGGCATTTGGAGATAGGAGGAAAGCGGAGAGTCCGACGCAAACCCCCACGGGACTGAGAGAGAGAGAGAGAGATGTAGTCCAATGTTAGTTTTGACAATACAACTTTAATCTTGAGTATTGTAACTATGATTCTTTTGATTAGTGTGTGACCTGAAAGCCAATATTTGCCTATACATCTTGACTATTGTGGCTTTAACTATAATTTAAAACCGCACAAAAGATATGGCAGCCCTTAAAAAAATCACAATGGAAGTAAATAAATCGAGTCGAGTCTTACCCACGCACATAACTGTAACTGTCAAGCCCTACACACCCTAAACGTTATCAAGCTAATGATCTAAGTGCATATAAATCTACCACACGTGAAGCAAGGTGTTTTCTAATGAAGGAACAAGAAGGCGTAAGCAAAAGAAAATAACGAAATTACATTCTTCGGTTTCATACACACCTGTTCAGTAAACATATAATAATCGGTGACGGTTATCGACTGAGACAAAGGGTTTCAAGATAGATGAACACCCGAACTAGTGCAAAGTTGTGCACCCAGAACGCACAACGTTGGAGGTGTTCGACCGAGGTCGAGGTCGGTAACTGGCTTACGCACTGCCACTGGATACTTTGTTTGTGTAAGAAGTTGAATGAGTGAATGAAAATGGACGGATACGACAGAGACGCAATTTTATCACATGCCTCTTATCACCCCAAATCGCTTTACCAATTCGGCTATAACAGGTATCAATAGATTATTTTGTACGTGATATATTGTTGTTTACTCAGAGATTTCTTTTTTTTTGAGGGGGGGGGGGGGGGTGCTCAATAACCTGAATATTGCACGTTTATATCTGCATATGCATATTGCTTATTTACCATTTGGATTGGCATACGGATACAATGTATTTTAAGCCTATTTGCCGATGTCAAGTTTTCGACACTTTTTTATACGCCCACGTGTCGTATATTGTCGTCGCTCCCGCCCTCTGTCCGTCCGGTGTCCACGCTATGGAGGCAAAAGTGAATATCCGATTGACTTTAAATTTATCTAAGAAAAGGCCAAACATAAATTTACCCCAGTTCGCTAGGTTTTGTGTATTTTTTCCTTAAAATATTGGATTAGATATCTAGCTAATGTTACTATTTCACCAACTATAAATCATTAAAAAAATATTTATTTATTGTTAACTACATTTATTTATCTTTTTTTGTATTTATCTTTCTTGTTATTTGTAATGTATGGTTTGTTTTCCACAATCACCGGGTTAGTATGATGGGGTGTTCATTGGATGAGTTTTCTAGCTAATGTTACTATTTCACCAACTATAAATCCTTATTTATTGTTAACTACATTTATTTATCTTTTTTTGTATTTATTTGTAATGCATGGTTTGTTTTCCACAATCACCGGGTAAGTATGATGGGGTGTTCATCTATATGAACACCTACTTTTCCTTAAATAACCGCCTGTACACGTGCTAAAAGAACACATTACAGTTTGATCTGTAACTTGAACAGCTCATTCAGAACAAAGGGTCCAGTGTGTAAAAATAAGTATTACATAATAAATTATATTTAATCTAAAGGAGTGGGGCGACTTCTCTCATTGTAACTGAGAGAGCGGGAGAAATGGGGTTTAAAGTCCACTTGACAAAACTTAGGTCATTTCGGGACTAACATATTATGATTCAGTTTTATTTCAATAATTCGCTTGCGCAGAGGGTTTTTTAGGGGTTCTTTAGTAGTGGAAGGAAACAGGGGGACTCGTAGAAAGGCAACCCTACTCCTTATCCTGTATAAGAGGGAAGTCGAAACCACATCACTTGACCCAATGACAGACCCTATTATCTAAAGCGCAGGCGTTAAATCATTCACGCCCCTCTCCACCAATGCAAACGAGATCTGACAGTCGACTCAAGCCGGTTTAAGATAAAATTAACTTTAAAATATATATTATTATTATTATTATTATTACAGCATATTTATAGTGCACCCTTTCATATAACATGTTCAGGGGCACTTTACAAAGTCACAATGTAAATCACACATAAACAACAAGATTATGGGCATGTTAACGATATACAGAGTCAGTTAAAAGCCTGATTAAATAAATGTGTTTTAAGTTGTTTTTTAAAAGAATATAGAGATGTACAACATCTTAAACTAAATGGTAGATTATTCCATAAAACAGGTGCTATAGCAAACGAGTTTACTTAATTGAGTTAATATCCCATATGCAAATATCAAGATGTTTTCTAATATAGTCTTGTGAACTCTTCTATCATATTCAAACTCTCTTTGCACCCGATAAAGTCTGCACTTTTAGCAATTTGTTCTATTTTGAGCATGTCAAAATACTGTTAATATTAATTTACATATTATATCACAGTGAACTGACAGGTCTGTGCCAACTACTTCAATCAGCATTCTCGGAAATCCACGGCTTCCTCGCTAACTCTTTAATTCCGTACTGTTTGGTTAATGTTCCAGTATAACATATGTTTTTAAGCCCAATGCCATATAAACCCATGGAGTTACCTTATTGGAGTCAAATGTATACTTTCATGTAATTAAGAAGAACTAAGATAATAAATGATACGTTTTATATTATTAAAATGTTATTAAGATATAATGCTACAATTTGTATTAGTAACATGAATTAAGATAAATGCATCTGTTTGTATTATTAAGATGAACTAATTATATAATGCATAATTATATATTAAGATGAACTAATAAATATATAGTGCTATGTTTTGTATTATTAAGATGAGTTCTAAGATATAATGTTACACTATTGTATTACTAATATGTACTAAGATTTGTATTATCAAGATGAACAAAAGATACAAGGCTACATATTGTATAACCGAGGGAGAGAGAGATTCGCTACAGATGGGGGCTGTGAAGAACATTTTCACAGGACAAATGAGTGATGTTATTTCTAGTACAATGTAGTCCAATGTTCATTTTGACAATATATCTTTAATCGTGAGTGTTGTAACTATAATTCATTTGATTAGTGTGTGGTCTGAAAGTCAACATTTGCCTATACATCTTCACTATTGTGGCCTTAACTATAATTCAAAACCGCCCAAAAGACAGGACAACCTTTAAAAAGATCACTATGAAAGTAAATAAACCAAGAAGAGTATTACCCACGCACATAACTGTAACTGTCAAGCCCTAAAAACTCTAAACGTTATCGGATAGAGATCAAGCTAATGATCTAATTGAAAACTCACGCGGATGGACAGGCAACCACATTCCATGTCACGTACAAAAACTGAGAATCGAAACCACGCTACATGACACAATGACAGACCTCATGAGCTAAATCGCACGCGTTAAACCATTCGGCCACCCATCCCTCCTGTACAGATTGTAAATAATTACAACAATTATATGAACCCTGAAGGGGAGTTGTTCACATGTCACTTCCCCAATGATTTGTCTGAAAACACCCCAATTAAAATAAAATTTGAATCCATGGTGCACGGCTGCTCGAAGGAAGAATAGCTGATTTTGATCGTTTCTCATTTTAGACGTGGGAAGTTAGTGAACTTGAATTAACCGTAACAGTTGGAATTAATTCGCTAACACACAAAACAAATATTAACATATGTTAGTCTTAAATTGACAGGTATTCAATACGTTTACGAGAATGGATGAAACCGGAATGCTGCCAATTTAAATAATCCAATATTTCTGTTATCGTCACTATTGGCATTAATCAGTTGCAGATTTCCAGACATCTTGTATCTGTGAAAGGCTAGGATAATATGACCTTCAATCATGATAATAATAATCTTTGGCATATGCAATTAATTTTATCAATTTCTCAAAATATCTATGCCATAACATCATAGTGCATAAGTGTCAAATGAATAAGTTAATTGGTATTTAGGGCTATAAGCATATGCATCAATTTTCTTTAGCAATTGTCATATCAAATCCCAATGATACCAAGACTCAGTCTGGTGCACGTGTAAATAAAATATTTGTCATTCATTCATAAGGTTAGTTCCCTTCTACCTTTAATATTAGAATACATTAAGACTCACGCTAAAGTAAGAGAGGCACATAAGGCCCATAGTATATTATCAACCATTTCGAGGACCGGAATGGAGAAACAAAATGTTTGGTCCAGCAAAACTGAATCTACTTTAAACATACCACGCCTTCGATTTCCTTGACAGTTCTATGTACCTTCAAGAATTGGAGTGGACATAAAAGTAGCCTATGGTGTGATTGATTGGTTTAATGCATAATAAAGTTCATCGGGATTTTCCGACGTGGTGCCCACTTTTTGGTGATGCAGGACAGAGGGTCCTGGTAAGGGAAAACGTATAATCGTTCGGATGGGGCGAAAAAGCCGGTCTCGTGTACACATTGGCGGTGCTGTAAAAGAACCCGTGGCAGTTGTAATTCAACATAAGAGTAGGCCGTAGCACACTGTATAGCGTAATCCCGTTACCATTAGCCCAGTCGATGCAGAAAAGTAGGACGGTAAACCCGATTTCGTTTCCAGGTGATGTTTGCTGCTTGTAAGAGTTCATAAATCAGATAATGTCCATATTATAGTGCATCAACATCATCTATATATTCCAGGATAGGCTAAGTAATCAAACATGTTTTATTTCTACCTCATCATAAGATCTGCCATTGAGTCAACTGGCGTGTTTTCGATTCCCCGATTGTACGTGACAAGGAGTAAGGTCCTCCCACTGCTAAAGACCCCTACGCGCAAGCGAATTATTGAAATAAAATTGAACCATATGTTAGTCCTGAAATGACGTGGTTTGTGTCGAGTGGACGTTAAACCCCATTTCTCTGTCTCTTTTCTTTCTACCTGGGTTTACAATATCAATACGTACTTCGAGATCATGTTTAACTGTACACTTGCCAATCCCCAATAAATCATGTCTTATAGATGTGCAAGATGTGTGTATACACGTACACCAATCATTGTTGCTTAGATCAGTGGCATGTTACATAAAACTTTAATTATTTTATTATCGTAAAATATTTTTTTTCCAAATCCATTTTAATGAATAGAGTTTTCCAGACGAAGTCAGTCGTCATCAAACTTTTAGATAGTGTTGGTGGGATCTGAAAGACAAAAGCATTATTGAATCATTTTTGGCATCTTTTTATGTCATTTTTGTTAGTAATAGTAAATGAAGAGGAATCTTGCACACGCAACCAACAAACACAAGCTACAAAGCTAAACGACAAACACATGTTCAAGGGTAAGACATTGGCTAACACATTAAATACACGTTTGATTGGAATAGTGTTCAGCATTTCGTTAAACCAATATTTCGGTCATTTTGAGACCAACATACTGCAATTTGGTTACGTATGCTATTCGAGGAGCATTTGGTATAGGCAGTGGCCTTTCCACCTACTCGTACTCGAATTCCAACTTCAGAGGGATATTTTATGTGCACAACCAATTTGTCCACCAGATCTCGTTTTTTCGAGGGCTAACTTGATTGCCCATTGTTATATATTCATTTAATATCAAAGAATTCTCGTATTTACCTTTTGGACTTGATTCGTATAGTACAGAATCACGGATGGGATTTCGAAATTTACTAAAATGACTAATTTGTAGACGTACACTATTTTTAAAGAATACAACAACCAACGATGGTATAAACAAAACGTAAATAGATATGTCTATGTTCTGTTAATTACCAATGTGAACAGGTCCTAAAAGGACAAGCATCAACTGAAAACTTATTTTAAAAGAAATAGTTCCTTACCAGCTGGTGTCATGGTATTCTGTTGTCCCATTCCCATTCCATACATAGCTCCCAAACCGCCCATCATACCTGGATACATACCGGACATACCTAAACCGCCAATCATACCTGGATACATACTGTACATGGGATTGTACATAGATGCGGCAATCATAGGGTATCCCATCCCGTACATGCCAGCGCCCATCAAGGGATTGTACATTCCCATTCCGTATCCGGCACCGAACATTCCTAACGCACCTCCGTACATTCCTAGGCCTGCCCCATACATTCCCAGACCTCCCATAGGGACAGCCATAGAACTGGCCACCAAGCAGGCAACAGCAACAACGACCAACTTCATCATCTGAATGTAAAAGAATGTAATTTTAATTACGAAACCCTAGATACATTAAACCAATTAAATGTGCGCATAACAGTGTAAACAATTTCCTAAAGTGCGATTCGTAATAAAGATCCAAAGGGGCAACTGTTGTTAAAAGTATAAACACAATATGTTAGGTATGTGAGCTGTTTAAACTGTATCCGATGTTCTAGAATCAGCAAAGATACCCTAACCTGTACACGACACCCGCCATATTTTATAACTAAAGGAAGCTGAGATTAGATTAATCGTGGTAAATCATGTTTTGTCCAATAACCTAACTAAAAATAAGGCTATACATTGAATAATTGTTTCTTGAATGATATGATTAACATGAAAATGCAACCACGTTCATCGACTGCGCCATCCATATATTATAACTAAAAGAAGGTGTAGATTGGATAAATCGTGGTAAACCATGTTTTGTCCAATAACCTTAGTAAAATTAACACTATACATTGAATAAACGTTCTTGAATGATACGATTAACATGAAATTGCAATCACGTTCAGCGACTGTGCAATATTTATGCCTAATAAATCCAGTTCGTAAAACAGGCTTACCTTTGTAGAGTAGATATGAGGATACCACGAGAAGATATGCTAACGACGTACAAATTGACCAGTCTTTTATACCCTGGACTCATCCCTTAATCACCATGGATGTCATTTTAATTAATTAATTACCTTTAATGATTTTACGGTATTTCCGGGATGTATATCATTACGCGAATTTATGCAAAATTGTATAAATTTTGTAAATCTCGGTATCCGAATTATATAATTCTAAATAATAATAACAATATTTTAACAATTTGTATTTACGTACACGGCTAAGAGAAAATGGGCAATGGTTTACTCTTTTCTGCTACTTAACACAACAATTTGAATAGTTAGATCATGTGCTATAATAAAAATAACAAAATTGTTGATAGCATATATTTATGAGATCAAAAAGTATTATTAAACTTTACTTGAAGTCTTGTAATGGTTGTTCTTTGACGTACACATTCAATATCCCGTTTTTAGGATAGAACTTGTGCTATATTTTCTTCGATTAACATTTGAGGTTCTGTATCTATAGCATCAATATTTTAAAGTATTGAGAGCTTTTTTCTGAGGAATCTGCACCCGAAATCAGTGGCGTAGTCAGAGTTGATACCCCCCCCCCCCTTCTCCCCAACGACCTTGCCCATAGTCTGGTCTATTAGTATTTAATATTCAGACTTAACTAATGTATTGTTTAAAATGAATTAAGTCAATATGTGCATTTATTTTACAATTTAAAATTTGTAGCTACAATATTATGTAATTCTAGTAAAGTCTTTTTTGTGCAGATGTCTGCGGAATTTAGTTATAATAATAAAAATTGATTGTTAGTTTCTTGTTTTTAAAGTAATAATTAAATAATGAGAAGTATCTGTAAATAAAACAACACGAGGTCTGCTTTAGATGGAACATCTATTTGTGTATGCAAAGAAAGGTTAATAGACTTTATTTAGAGCATATTGATCGCTAGCTCTTTCCCTAAATATAACTTAATCAGTGCAAATAGGTCGTACATTATTAAAACAGATCGAATATGTTTTAAGAAATACTTTTTACCAGTGCACAAAGTTCATACATAAATACGAAAATAGCGTGTTCGTTAACAAAAACACCAGATTTCTCAAAATTCAATCTGGAATCGGTTACCAACAATAACAACAGATGGCAATTGTTTTTCTCCAGATCTAAGTGGTGTCTGTCATGTTTTTATTTAGGACTTTAGGTTTGACTCGGTACCCGAATTGGTTCGTTTCCTTGTACATATGACTTCACTTAAAATGAATCTGTTTGTTTTCCTCTGCTCATTGCGCCTACTAAGTAAGTGTCGTGGTTAATGACCTGGAAATATGGTTTCAGCTTAGAAAAGCACGACTACGGGTGACAGAAGAGCAAAAACTATTGTAAGTTCGCTATGAACGATGTATGGACATAATGGTTGACCAGCGTATCGGCCGCCGATCGGTATGTCATCACATTTTAAATGGGTGATAACTGTACTAATACAGTCTTACGGTGTTGGGGTTAAAAACAGTGTGACCGCGAGGTCTTACATTCTGGAATAATATATAACTAAAATAACGGTATTTTCTTTCAGGAACGAATCAATTTGATTTGGTTTAACGTCACACTTCTCTGCACGTACTGAGCTATGAGGGAATTTGGTGCCAGGATAGCAATTTAACTCCAACGGTGAAGGATTCTTTTATGTGCACGGCAACGGGACCCTCTGCGTTACTGTTATATGTCCCTGATTATTGTAAAGCTCTACCTGATTTAACTCTAAAAAATGCCCAGATCCAGTAATGAACATTACTATATTTTGTCAGATGTGGGGTTGGAGAAATGAACTTTTTTGCCCTCAGCTCAGATAATCTCTCTTCATAGTAATATCAGGAATTGCTGCCATGTGTCATAGACGTCTTGTAAGTGCAGAAGAGGCAACTATACAAGATGGACCTTGAAATATCAATAATAGGTAATTCTGAGTAACGGATAATATAGATAATATAAATTTCGTTTTTTTGTTTCACCAGGTGGTTATATATATTATTGTATATGTTTTACTCAGTGCTGTAAGGTTGTATAAAACATCATGTTCTGACATTAACCCGACTATAGACTTAGTAACTTAATTAAACATCATTCTTTACTACTGATGTAATACAAATTGGTTTACATTGGCATCTTAATTAAGAATTCTTTCAATGAATTTGCATCGAGTAATTTCTGGAGAAATACCAGCTGTTCTTTGATGTTTACATAAAATACTGAAATATTATTAAATAAATACTGTAATATATTGTGCTGCAAAATCTTTTTCAGATATCGTGTGTAAATACACACGCCTGAAATTGTGCTTTTATAATTGACATCAACCAGTGCGCCTGTCTGTCCGTCACAGTTATTTTCAAGGTTGATAGGTTTGTCCGACCGCTCATAACGCGGAGAACTCTACTGAAACCCTGTAAACAGACACGCCCGAAAATCCACCTTTACATTAACGTGTCTGTCCATCACAATTAATTTCAAAGTTGGTGGTATATTTTCCGACCTCTCATACCGGGGAGAACTCTAGCTGGAACCTTGTAAACACTCTACAGGTGAAAATTATTCAGAATTGTTGGGATTATTCTGCTAGTTATACGGAGGTAAAGCTACATGGCATCAAGAACTATGAACATGGACATATTGGGAGCGGGTCACTATCATCCAGAAAAACTATTCTACGAATATTAGTCTGGGTACGTTGTCAACATTAATTCAGAATAAAGGGAGATTGGCTAGATTAACCAGTCTTTTACATTATCATAAACATTATCTTAAAAACAAGATGTTGGCGCCAATGAAATTAATTTAAGAATGCCATTTCAGAAAATCCATTTGATTGCAATGACAGTTCAATATCCAACACTCTTGATTTTGTTTTATTGTAAAATTTCTCTCTTCGTGTGCCATATCTTTGTTTTTCGTTAAAATTAACCCCAATTCGTTGTCACGATTCATGTTTGTTTATATTAATGCAAGAATTGTGGGATTTATTGCGGGAAGGGGCTCAACTCATACTTGACTTGGCGACAGATACTGGATAATCAACGCATAAAAACCAAACTCCCGGTTACGCACGGGCAATGGAACTGTTCGTCAAATATTGACAACTGTCCCAAACCCTCCGTACGTTGAAGACAAGGAGGTTCTGGGTGACTGAGACTAATTGGGAGCTTAAACGCCAGACTGCACTTAATGCAATTCACGAGCTTTACATTTTTTCGTTGCTTAAAAAAGTTTCATTCAACATTCTGCAGAAAGGGATTGGTTCTTTGAACGCATTTAAACAAATGTTATTCTAAGACCTTATCGATCTTTTTACTTAAAGAAATGTAGCAAATTCCTTTCAGACTATTTATAGACAGTTTTAGCTACACATGGCTCAAATAATCTAGATTACGATCATTACAGCATCAGACACTGAAACAAGATGCAATGATAGAAAACGCTTGTTGGTTTGTGTTAAATCTGGAGTCGATGTTTGACTCGGTACTCTGTTTTACTTGGTTCATTGTTTTAATTATTCGGTCTTTTTCTAACTAATGACACAATGTAGTTCCCAATAGACATAACAATCTGTTGGGAACTACATTGTGTATTATGTATATCTGTCATTTTTCCTCGCAAAAATAACAAGGCTGATATCGATTTTATGTCGCTAAAAACATAAGATACCGAGTTAAACCGAGTACCATGCTCAAGATATAGCTAAGATTAAAAGATTTGTTTTGAAAGCCATGTTTTGGCTAGAATAAAGTTTGTTTAAATGCCATTTCTACCTAAAAGATAAACAATCACATACATATAAACTATTTTTAAATTTTATTTTGTCAATTATCATCTAGATTTTAGCTATAATTTGAACAAAATACCCTGGAACATTCGACAATCTACAACTTTTAAATAACGTGAACAAAAATATTTTTTTTTTCGGGGATACTTATTTCATTATGAATATTATCGTTAAGAAATAAAGGTTAATATTAAAAAGAAACAGTCATCTGGGCCCGAGGATCGTTCGTTGTTTTGTGCGTTTCTTTTGAACGAGGCCCTAAGTAAAAATGTAGGTAATTCTAAGAATAAAAAAAGTTTTATGGGCTTAGGTTCCGAATGCCCCTTTAAACATGAACGGAAGTGTAATATTATCGGTGTGTTTGGCTTTCTGGAATGAGACACCACACCTTGCAAATCTCCACGACTGCGTAGTAAAGGCAAACCCATGAATGAAATACCAAGATCACAGATAAGAGCAGCAGAGTTAAATCCACTGCATTCTTTATAGCATGTTATTAAGACTCGATTGGATTTTTTAAAACAGACGAACCCGCGACCCGCTGACTAGTCTTACTCACATAGCCACCGTGGCTCTCAGAAATCTACAGACATACA